GTTAGTTATCTTCAAGCAGGTGTGTCAGCCCTACAGCGTGTACTCTGCCAGTACGCTGCCACCTCCTCTACTCCTCCTACTCCATCCTCTTCCATAACCTCCTCGGCTTAGTCCCCTTCTGCTGCTGCGTCTTGCTCCACATCAACGGATAGGGGGCGTAACAGTGATTAAACTGATAACAATAGTACTAAACACACCACTCCTATTTGGTGGCACATTAGATTGCACGCGCAGTGCCCCAAATTTGTTGTGATCTGTGAGTAAGGTAAACGGTTGTCCATACAAGTAAGTTGCAGCTTTTTGAGGGCCCACACCACCGCTATGCACTCCTTTTCAATGGCAGTGAATATACTTCGCTGTGCAAAAGTTTACGGCTTAGATAAGCCCCGGGTTGCTAGCCACCATCTGCCCCGACTTGGCTCAATACTGCTCCCAATCCAAGCATAGAAGCGTCTGTATGGACGAGAAAGTGTTTAGTTGGATCAGGAGAAGAAAGTACAGGTGATTTAATGAGCTGTTGGAAGGCCTGTTCACACTCTGGGGCCCATACTACTATCTTGGGGAGGTTTTTACACGTTCCTATATGGCACTTACTGGCTTTAGGGTCAGTCCGGACTCCCTAATCCGGTCTATTACGGCTCCTATGTGGGTCAGGTGTTCGGGCCAGGAGCAGCTAAAAATGTCTATACCATCCAAGTAGGTGTATATCAGTGTGTATCAGGGATCCTTAGGACAGGTGTCAATCCATATCTGCCAAGTGACCCTATGTAGGGGGAACAGTCTCTATTCTGCTCTGTGTCAGTGTGTATCATGGTCTCTGAGGACAGGTGTCAATCCATATCTGCCAAGTGACCCGGTGTAGGGTGAACAGTCCCTATTCTGCTCTGTGTCAGTGTGTATCAGGGATCCTTAGGACAGGTGTCAATCCATATCTGCCAAGTGACCCGGTGTAGGAGGAACAGTCCCTATTCTGCTCTGTGTCAGTGTGTATCAGGGATCCCTAGGACAGGTGTCAATCCATATCTGCCAAGTGACCCTATGTAAAAAGGGCCTGATGAGATGAGCTGCCTTGGGCTAAAAATGGTCCACACGCTGCTGTATTTTAGCTCTGAATGCCTGTTGACTTGCGTGACTTATCCGCCACCAACTTGGGTTCAAGCCGCCAGTGTGTACTTTATAAATAGCTTTATAAAGCAGTGTGTACTTTATAAATGGCTCCACCTGCCACCCGTACAGCAACACAGTCTCCAGTTAGGAGGACCAACCAAGCATCTTCTTCCATCTGCCTGTTACAGAAATTACTGTCGTGTACACGACCACTGATAGGAGACGCGGAAGGTATTAAACTGATAAAAATAGTACTAAACACTCCACTCCTATCTGGTGTCACATTAGCTTGACCGCGCAGTGCCCCAAATTTGCAGGTAAGAGGACCTACTCGCCTTCTTCTTCCATCTCCCCTGTTACAAAAAATCAAAGCCGCAGTACATCCACTGATAGGAGACGCGAAAGGTATTAAACTGATAAAAATAGTACTAAACACACCACTACTATCTGGTGTCACATTAGCTTGACCGCGCAGTGCCCAAAATTTAATGTGATCTGTGAGTAAGGTAAACGGTTGTCCATACAAGTAGGTTGCAGCTTTTTGAGGGCCCACACCACCGCCATGCACTCCTTTTCAATGGCAGTGAATATACTTCGCTGTGCAAAAGTTTACGGCTTAGATAAAAAATCAATGCCGTGTACACGTCCACTGATAGGAGACGCGGAAGGTATTAAACTGATCAGAACAATACTAAACACACCACTCCTTTTTTTTGGTGAGGCTTTACAGGACAGAGTGCTTCTCCACGGACATGTTAACTCACGGGCAGCTGGCTCATCAAGGAACCACAGCAGCTTTCCATGTACAGGTAAGACACGTGCAGCCGGTAAGGGTTCAGGCTCTTCTTCCTGGAGGATACGCTGCAAGCCTGTTGAACGAGGTGACCTTGCTCGGGTCCCAGGTGTACCGTTCCTAAAATGGCTGCCATATACACGTCCACTGATAGGAGACGCGGAAGGTATTAAACTGATCAGAACAATACTAAACACACCACAAATAAGGTTTCTCTCCTGTATGGCTCCTCAAATGATGCTTAAGATTAGAAGCGGCTGAAAAGCATTTCTCACACTCCGAACAAAAATATATTTTTTTAACATTCTCTCCACTTTGAACGAAATGACGTTTGGGAAGAGATTAATATAATTAAACACAGGCAGTAAAAATACAGTTTTTAGCCATACACTGTAACTTTAAAACTACACATCCCATCTTCATAACAATTACATATTTGGAATCAGCACACTTTAAAACATAAACATAACCAAAAATCAGCCAAATCCATCCAGGGGTTAAAAAGTTAGCTGGAGGTCCCTTTATGACCGACCGCAAGCACATTTTCCTGCCCAAAATAGTTCCATAGATTTGGGCTGTGAGGTCGGTCTATTTCAGGCTGAAAAAACGACTAAGTCCCATCGCGAATGGGACTTAGTCTCTGCAGCTGAAATAAGGCTGAAAAAAACGGCTGAAAAAAAGACTAAGTCCCATCGCCGAATGGGACTTAGTCTCTGCAGCTGAAATAATTTCCCATTTACTGAACCAAGTGGGAAATAGCAAGGCAGGCACAAAGGGTTTGCACCAGGTCTGGGGACACAGGGGACACCGTCTTAAAGGGGCCGTGTCCCCAACAAGTCTGGGGACACGGCCTTAAAGGGGCAGTGTCCCAATCTTCCTGATGTCCCAAAAAAGGTGTTTAAAGGGCCAGCACCAGTCACATAAAGAGTCCATAAGCCCCAATATGCCCACCGACAGTCTTAAAGGGCCATACACACCAAATAAAAGTGCATACATTTTCACAATCTCCCAGGGGCCATAGTCATGCGGGAGGAGGCTGGCAAATAGGCTTCTCCACAACCCAGGGAAGCAGGGCAATTTGCCATTTAAAGGGCCCGTTACAAATAGCAGTTTGTAACAAGGTGTCAATCCATATCTGCCAAGTGACCCGATGTAGGGGGACCAGTCCCTATTCTGCTCTGTGTCAGTGTGTATCAGGGAACCTTAGGACAGGTGTCAATCCATATCTGCCAAGTGACCCGATGTAGGGGAACAGTCCCTATTCTGCTCTGTGTCAGTGTGTATCAGGGATCCTTAGGACAGGTGTCAATCCATATCTGCCAAGTGACCCTATGTAGGGGGACCAGTCTCTATTCTGCTCTGTGTCCGTGTGCATCAGGGGCTCTGAGGACAGGTGTCAATCCATATGTCAAGGTGTCAATATGTCATATGTCAGGTGTCAATCCATATTGATTGTGATTTAGGAATGTTAGGTGATTTCTGCCCTTTATGGATTAAAACCAGACTCTGTATCAACTGTGTAATTTTCCATGGGAGTTTTGCCATGGATCCCCCTCCGGCATGCCACAGTCCAGGTGTTAGTCCCCTTGAAACAACTTTTCCATCCCTATTGTGGCCAGAAAGAGTCCCTGTGTGTTTTAAAATTCGCCTCCCCATTGAAGTCAATGGCGTTTCGGGCGGTTCGCCGGTTCGCGAACACTTGCGGAAGTTCGCGTTCGCCGTTCGCGAACCGAAAATTTCGGGTTCGCGACATCACTAGTTCTCTGTCCACAGTCCACAGCATCTCTTCCCCTGTTCAAACACTCTGCAAAATTCTTTGTTGCTGCCTCGTCGTATTTACCTGAATCTCATCGACGGTCTGAAATCTCTTTCCTTTCAAATGTGATTTTAGTTTTGGGAAAAGCGAGAAGTCACAAAGTGCAAAATCTTTCAACAGATTCTTTGAAGCATTTGTGTCACACTTTTATTTGTGCTGCACTAATTGCATCATCCCCGAAAGCCTTTTGAATCATCCAAATTGTTTCCGTGGAGGAAGGATCAAGCTTAACACAAAATTTAATGCAGTTTCGTGGCTCCACTTTTCGTAGTCATTTTGAATGCAATGGCCACACAGCACACATGCTCACTCAGCCACATCTAGTGCCCTCCACTGACTAGTACAGGATACGCGTCATGCATGCACATTAAAGTCCACTCTCCTTGGCTTCCAGGTTACATCAATGTCACGCAAAGTATTCTCGTTATATTAGCAATGGCAGGACCTCGTATGTAGCAAAATTTAGCTTGATTTACTGGAGATTGACATTGTAGGAAAAGTTACACTAAAAATTCTTATTAATGATTGGTATAACTCAACAGTCATACCAAACAACAAGTTTCCTCAGTGACCCTGAGTGAAATTACTCCATAGGAACCTATTGAAACCAAGATGCCACTTCCTCATTATTACATTACGTTGCAGTTTCACATACTTGAAAAAATAAAGTGCTTTTCATTGCTTTGATTTTTTTTAGCTGTTTAATAAATAGGTCCCTAATTTGGTATCCTGTGTATATCATATACATGCATAACATACATTCACATACATTTTAAATACATGTCACTGTAATTCAGAAATTGTTCAGAATTTAAGTTATTTAGTAGCCTTAAGCCTCATGGAAGTGAAATAAGCAGCATGTCCATTATGTCCAAACATCACCCAGGAGGCAAATGGATGTTTCTGCTGCAATAACGTCTGATACCACCTCCACTGCCTCTGCAGCTCCTTCTAGCAAAGCTAAGTTCAGCTGTTACAACTTCTGTGTTTTATGGTGTTCGGAGGAATGGATCTATTTATTGAATGCACCAAAGAAGCAACTAAGGGAGACATCAGCAGATATTTTGTTTGTGCCATCAGTGCAACTCATTACTGATGGGGAAGTGCAGACTACCACTAATTAGTGTCCCCAATCTTTGGTCTTGGGGGTGATGATGAAGAATCTTGTGATGATG